CTCCTCCTCCTCCTCCTTCCCCCAGGATCGGCTTCCGTCCCAAGTCGGTGTACTTGACGGTCCCGCGAACCGTTGGGGACCTCTCAGAGGCCCCATATAATTGTCAGAGGTCGCAAGTCGTGACTGACTTTTTCTGCTGTGACGAAAGGAGGAGGAGGAGGAGGAGGAGGAGGAGGAGGAGAGGAGGAAGGGAGGAAAGGAGGAAGGGAGAAAGGAGGAAAGGGAGGAAGGGAGGAGGAAGGAGGAGGGAGGAGGAGGAGGAGGAGCACTCAGCGCGCAGGAAGGAGGGGAGGGGAGAGAGGAGGGAGGAGGAGGGGGAGGGGGAGGAGGAGGGGGAGGAAGAGGAGGAGGAGAGGAGGAGGAGGAGGAGGGGAGGAGGAGGAGGAGGAAGAGGAGGAGCAGGAGGGGGAGGAGGAGGAAGATGAGGAGGAGGAGGAGGAGGAGGAGGAGAAGGAGACCTCTGGGGGTCCACTTTACGAACACAAACACGACGTCGGAGTTCTTGGGAGTCTGTTTGGACGCCTGCCGACGTCGAGACTCGACACCTTCAGGCACGGAAGCGCGCCAGAACGGCGAGCCCAGACCCCCGACGTCGCCGTTTGGTCGGCACGTGGGCCCCCAGAGGTCCAGATTGGCGGCGATCACGGGGGGGAACTTAGAAGAGGCGGGCCTGCTCAGAAGGCTCGGAAATCACGCGGCCATCTGAGGAGTGTTCTGAGCCCTCCCCGAAGACACAAAGGAGTTCGCAGCAGGCCGGAGGGCTTCTGAGACGCCCCGCCACCTTCTGAGAAGACCTTCTCCTCATCACTGCCCCCCCTCGCTCGCCGCCGACTGGACCCTTCCGTGGGACCAGCTTGCCGTCCCGAGCCGTTCGTCGGAGGCCCAGAACAGCAGCACGCCAGAACGGCGAGCCCCGACCCCCAACGTCGTCGTTCCGTCAAAACGTGGGTCCCCAAAGGTCTGGACCGCCTCCTCCTCCTCCTCCTCCTCCTCCTCCTCCTCCTCCTCCTGGACCCTTCCCTGGGACCGGCTTTCCATCCCGAGCTTTTCGTCGGAGGCCCAGGACGGGGCCCCGGGGGGCCGAGATCAGCCCAACACTCCCCCGCGCCGGGCACCTTTCACGGCGCGAAGGGTCTGGACGAAGGGGCCCAGGGACACGCAGACAAATACATGCAAATCCCAGGATTCCCCCTGGATCTCCACATCTTCTGGACGTTCGTGTTCCCCCACACACACACACACTTCCCACAGGAGGAGGAAGAGGAGGAGGAGGTGGAGGAGGAGGAAGAGAGGAGCGGACTGGGAGGCCAATGGGACACGAGGGGGGGGGACTGGGAGTGGAGGAAGGAGGGGGGAGGAGGAGGATGAGGAGGAGGAGGAGGAGAGGAGGAGGAGCAGGAGGGGGCGGAGGAGGAGAGAGAGGAGGAGAGTGAGGAGGAGGACGAGGAGGAGGAGGACGAGGGGAACATCGACGCGGGATCGGCGACGCATCGCCGACAGTTCGGCGATCGGCCCCCGACGGCGAGTCCGCGCGCTCCTGGGCAGGCATCGGACCCCCATCGGCGATCCATGGGCCGATCGGGGTTGATGCATCCCCCTCCCATGCCTATCATCCCTTTCCATCGTTGACCCTGGAGGCAGAAGAGCCCATAATCGAATTGAAAAGTCGGATCGGCGACCGAACTGCACAGGATCGGCGGAAATCGGCAGCCAAATCGGGAGAAGTCGAATCGGCGGACATCGGCAGGCGAGCAGACTCTCCGTTGAGACACCGGAACCCGCGCCGGAATCCGGCGTCGACTCGGATTGGCATCGGAAGCCATCAAACTCGGATCGCATCTCGAGCCAGAGCAATCGAAAGTAGCCCTGCTATCCCCCCGTCGTTCACCCTGGAGGGCTGGGGGACCACCTCCTCCTCCTCCTCCTCCTCCTCCTCCTCCTGCTCCTCCTCCTCCTCCTGCTCCTGCTCCTCCTCCCTCCTCTCCTCCTCCTCCACCTCCTCCTCCTCCTCCTCCACCTCCTCCTCCTCCTCTTCCTCTCCTCCTCCTCCTCCTCCTCCTCCCCTCCTCCCTGCTCCCTCCTCCTCCTCCCCCTCCCCCTCCTCCTCCTCCTCCTCCTCCTCCTCCTCCTCCTCTCCTCCCCCTCCTCCTCCTCCTCCTCCTCCTCCTCCTCCACCTCCTCCTCCTCCTCCTCCTCCTCCTCCTCCTCCTCTTCCTCCTCCTCCTGCTCCTGCTCCTGCTCCTGCTCCTCCTCCTCCTCCTCCGCCTCCTCCTCCTCGCTGGGGGCCCCGACGAGGCCGAAGGCCCCAGCGCGCCCGCGCGGGGCGGGAACGTTCGCGCGCGTGGGCGGCCTGGCGCGGCAGCGCGCCGGGATAAAGCAGGACTCTATCTCCACCGCGGCATCAAACGGGGGGGGCTTCCGCCGACCACCCTCACCGAGGGCAGGTGAAGGAGGAGGAGAAGGAGGAGGAGGAGGAGGAGGCGGAGGAGGAGGAGGCAGAGGAGGACACCTTTCACTGGCTACATCTCCGCACGACACTGCAGAAGCGTGAGCGGGCGGAGGCTTAGATGAGGAAGCTCAGCATCTCGAAATTCTTGCACATGAGGCCGACCCGCACGGCCCACACGATACCGGCGCACAATCCTCGAAGGACAGCGCCGAATTGATGATGTCGCACTCTAGCTCGTACTCTCCCCCATCTCATGAGCAACGGCGGCCTCAAACAAGTCCACCAGCTCAGCCACGTCGAAGTTCCCCTTCTCGGCCAGCGCCGCGTAAGCCCCGCGTAAGGGCTTCGAGGCCTGCTTCCACGACAGGCGGAACCGCGCCTCCACCTGCCTCCACTGCCGTACGGAGAGCTTCGACATACCCTTGAGGACGGCAACAACGTCCTTCAGCTGCAAACGGTCGTCGAGAGAAGACGACGCCGTACACGAAACACTCGCAGGAGGAACAATGCTCGAAGCACACGAACTCTCTGCGGCGAAAAACTTGGGGTCGTACTCGCTGGAGTTGGCCACACCACCAGCGTCAGGATGAAATATAGCAACTTCTTGATGTAGATACTGAACAGAATCTCCGCGACCGTCTCCGAGAAGCTGTCGCACTTCGCCTCCTCCTCCGTCGGGATGCAAGTCCCCAGCAGCATGAAGAAGGTCAGCTGCAGGAACTTTGGATTCTGGAAGCTCATGTTCTTGCCCCTCACGTCCGCCTTGATCCCCAGCGGCTTCTTGAGGAAAAATGTGAGCACCGTCCGACTGCTTACCCTCCAGGCCGTTCTCCACAAAGAGCTCGAAGGATTCGCCGCCATCGAAGCACTCGTGCTTGGAAAGGCACAGAGAGGCACGGTCATCAACAGCACCTGGACCTCCCTGCACACCTCGGGCACTAAGATCGTAGAACTCGGTTAGTCCGCCGCCCTGGACTCCAGCTCGTAAACTCCCACGGTCCTGCCCTTCACGCTGCTCTTCCGCTCCTTCTTCTCCTTTTTCTCCTTCTTGTCCTTCACGACCTTCTTGTCCTTGGTACTGCTCTTGCCGTGCTTCGCCCGCTCCTTGGGGACAAGGCTGTGCCCCACCTCCGCGGTCGTGGGCGCCAATGCCAAGGTCGCGAAACTGTAGTACTGGCACCGCAGGTACTGGTACGAGACTGACGTATGAGGACCCAGTAGCACCTGGCCCATGGTGTCCGTTGGGAGACCAGGAACTGCCCACTTCACCGCCCGCGTAGCAGGCGGCTGGTGTAGAGGTCGAAGGTCTCCAGGTGGAGGCTCCGACATTCCCGATGTCCCTGACGGCGCACGCGAGGTTGACCTCGAGTCCAGCAGGGACTGAAACCTCGATTCGCGCGACAGCGGGGGAACCGCCATGGCTGCCAGGCATGCAGGAGCGGTGAGCCAGCGAAACGCCCGAAAAATTCGAGCCCCAAGCTCCCGGACCTGACCAGGAGTGAAATGCTGCCTTGAGCCAGGAGGAGGCAGAGGAGGAGGAAGAGGAGGAGGAGGAGAAGGAGTAGGGGGAGGGGGAGGAGGAGGAGGAGGGAGGAGGAGGAGGGAGGAGCAATAGGAGCGCTCGCGTCAACATCTGACATCCTACCCCTCCCTCCCATCCCTTACCATGGCGCTGATTTTCTCTATCCACGGACGCGTGTCGTAGCGGACCTGTGGCTCCGCGCGCGTGTGCGTAGTGGGTGGTGGTGCGCGTGCGTGCGTGCGTGCGTGTGTGCGTGGTTGTGGTTGTTGTGGTCGTGGTGTGTGTATGTGTGTGTGCGTGTGTGCGCGTGTGCTGTGGTGTGACGTGGTGTGGCGTCTTGGTGGTTTGGTGGTGGGCCAGGTGCGTACGTGCGTGATGGCGGTGGTGGTGGCGGTGGTGGTGTGTGTGTGTGTGTGTCTGTCTGTCTGTCTGTCTGTCTGTCTGTCTGTCTGTCTGTGTCTGTGTCTGTTGACGCGGGGCCTATAAAGGCAAAAAGAACCCAACAAAGGGCCCAGGCCCCACTGAGGGGCCAAAGCCACAAGGGGCCATCCCCATACAGGGGGCGGGCCACAAGGGATCCCGAGAGCCCAGACGAGCCGCAGAAGGCAGCCACCAGGGCACGTCGGCCCCGAGGCACCGCTCGGCCTGTCAGCTCAAACCCCCGTCGAGGGGCAACAGCGCGAAGCGCTGGAATCTATACAACAGCGCAGACACGCGACGGGCAAAGCCCCAAACATGCTTGCGCAGCCCCAAGCGGCACCGCGAGGCACGCGAGGCGCAGAAAGCTTCACGCCAACACGCCGAGGCCCGCGCCCACCAGGGGTCCAAAAGGGACGGGCAGACAGGAGACGGACGAAGAGGGAGGACAGGAGGAGAGGCAGGCTGGCGCTCCACAGCCAGGAGCGCCCGAGGCTCGGCACGCGCTCGTTCACGCGGCCCGAGCGCCCCAAGGCTGGAGCCAGCGCGGACTCAATCTCCTCCATCCCCGTCATCTCTGCGCCGCTTCCTGCTCCGGCGCTCACGACGGGCCTCGTCGGCCTCCTCCGCCCAGCTCAGCAGGCTCTCCTCATCGAGGCCGTAAGCTTCCAGCCAGGCCTGCCGTGATCCCGCTCCCGCCGCGGCGCCGCCAGCCGCAGCGGGCAGCTCTGTCGAGGAGGAGGCCGCAGCGCCAGCGCCGCCCCCAGCAGCGACGGCCGCCGAGGCGCTGCCCTCGACGCCTGCTGGGGCCTCGGGCTGGACTCCGAGCCACTTCAGGAAGCGCGCCCTGGCGTCCTGCGGCACCTCGGCCTCCTTGCGAAGGCGGGGGGCCTCCGCCCCCTTCCTCCGCGCGTCGCGGGCGCGCGGCGTACCCCCAGGGTGGAGGCCGCGCTCCCACCGCGACTTCTGGTCCCGCAGCGACCTGGGGAGGCCCGTCGCGCCAGGGCAGCGCTCCCTGAGCTTGGGCTGCGGGCCAGGGCGTCCGCCAAGCCTCGCATGCGCGCCGCGCCAGGTGCACGCAATGATCTCCTGCTGGTCGCCGTCCTCGCCGCACCTGGCGCAAGCGAGGGTGTGCCCTGCGACGGCGAAGACCAGGGCGCCCAGCGCTACTCCTCCGTCACGCGCCGCCGAGGCCCAGGCGCCGACAGCGGCGGGGCGGCTGCCAGCCTGCTCCCCGCTGGCCCCCACGGCGGCGGGCGGGGCGCCCGACCCGTTCACGGGAGCCGCCCGCGGGCCGTCAGCGCACTCCTCCAGCGGGACCGCGAAGGTGACAGCAGTCCTCCGCTCGTCGCACTCAGGAAGGCCCTCGCAGTCCTGGGAGTCCCTGTCCTGCCAGAAGATCGAGGCCTTCGCGATCCACCTGGAGAACTCCCTCACGACCTCCATCGCGCCGGAGAACTCCCGCCTGGCCGCCGCGCTGACCCTGTGGAGGGCCGCCCCCGCCTTCGCCAGCCTGTTGGCGTGGGCGTTCCCAAGCAACTGAAACTCCGAGATTCTGCCCTCGCGAACATCGATCTCGGTGCAGTGGGCCGCCACCTTGTTCACAGTGATCGCGTCGACGTCCAGCGAGGCGTAGACGGCCGACCACAGGTGTGCATTGGGCTTGTTGGCAGCCGTCGCATACTTCCTGCCGAGCTTCAAGCAGCTGACTGTGGACGCACTGTCGATGCTGATCTCGATGATCGAGGGCCCAAGGTAGCGGCTCAGCATCCAGACCGCGAAGTCCTCGCCGTCCTTTGCCGTCTGGAAGGGGCACAGGTCGAGGCGGACCGTGCCGTGCACCGCCGCCTCCATGTTGCCGAACTCGTCGCACTGCACGATGCTCCAGCCAGCCCTGCGGATGCACTCGAACTCAGGGTCGAGCGCTGAGCCGTCGAGGAAGAGGCGACCTCCTAGCAGCCCGTCTGCTGGCCTGTTCACCCACATGACTGCCATCGCGTCCGACCTCCAGGCCGTCTGCGGGGGCTGCGGCAGCCAGCACCTGGAGAAGCATTCTCCCGCTTCCTCACCTCGCTGCCTCACTCGAGTGGCGCAGCGACGGAGGCGGGCTGACACCGAGTCCCGCCTCCCAGCGGCCAGGGCTGGGCGCTCGAAGAGCCTGCACCAGAGGCTGCCACGCGCTTCGCCGCAAGCGCAGCAGCGAGGGTGGCCCCGCTCACCAGCCGCGAAGAGGCGAGTCTGCGGCCAGTGGGCGTTGGACAGGTAGCTCACCACCGCTGCCTTCTCTCTGCTGCTGAACCTGCCGCGCGGCCCGATGACCTGGCCGAGTGCGTCCCAAAACAAGGGCATGGAGGGGGCGGCTCCGTGCCCAAGCCGCGTCATCTCAGCTCTGTCGGAGGCCCTGCGGGCACCTGCCGCAGCCAGCAACCCGAGCTCGCGGGGGCCCATGATCAGCATGTCCAAGGTGTGGCCGTCGTCGGTGTGCACGATGTGCCCAGCCGAGAGGCGCCACCCAACCCGCAACAGAGAGAGGGCCAGGGCGTCGACTGGGTTCTTGCAGTTCACCCAGGGCACCATGGCGCTGCCGCGCCTGCGCTCGGCCTCCTCCAGGCAGGTAGCGAACGTCCTCAGGGGCACCTCGCCCGTCTGAAGGAGGCTGGCTGCCACCTGCACCGCTGCGCGCACCAGGGCGGGGCTCGGGTCCAGGTCGGCGGAGCGCTGCACCTCGATCGCCCTGGGCCTAAGCCCAAGGGAGGCGGCCTTGGGAGGCTTCCCTGCCGCGCGCGCAGCCGCCAGGCGCCAGGAGTGAAGCTCGCCGTCGGGCACCCCTGCGACTGTCCTGCCCCGCAGCATGGCGGCGGTTGGGCCTGCTCGGCGCATGTGCACCACCGCGGCCCCCGCCGAGCCCAGGGTTCTCAGCCGCCTGGCGCGGGAGAGGCCTCCCACAGCGCGGGCGCCTCCCTCATGGACCCCTCTGCGGGTCACGTTGGCGTCGGTGCCCAGGTTGCGGGCCTGGGAGCCACGCTTGACCTCGAAGCCGAGGGCGGCCCAGCTGGCGGCGAGGCCGTCCGCCACATGTGCAGACGAGGCCCGGAAAACGGACTTGCTCTCATTGAGCGGGAGGGTGGGCCCGCAGGTGTCGCAGCACCTCCCCGCTGGCCCCCGCGAGCTGGTCCACGACCAGCCTCGCCGGACCGACAGCTTGGAGCGAGACGTCGCCCACCAAGTTGCGAAGGGTGGCAAGAGGCCGCTGAGCCCCAGCTGCTAGGAGGCCTCCCAGAAGGGGAAGCTTAGCAACCGCCGTCGCACACGCGCAGCCCGCCAGCACTGCGCCACTGGCCCCAAAGGGGGCCGAAGCCACGCCACCTGCCAGCACGATCCTCGGGGCCTGGTAGATGGCGAGGAGGCCGCGCAGCAGCTTCAGGTTGAAGCCAAAGCGCTGGGCTGGCGTCCAGAGGACGTCGTGGCGCACGTGCTCGTAGAACTTGCGGGTGTCCAGGAACAGGCTGGCCACCTCGAAGTGCGGGGAGGCCATCGCGAAGCCCGCGAAGCAGTTGTGGATCCAACCCGCTCTTTCGCAATCACGGCCATCGCGACCCCAGAAGAAGGGGAAAATGAGGTCTGACACCCATCGGGCACAGCGCGGCTGCCTCAGGCGAGACCAGAGCCGCAAGGCCAGCGGGAGCAGCGCGATGGGCCTCGTCCCTCCGTCAGCTTTAGGAATAAAAACCATGAGCGTCACCTGTCCCCTGATCGAAGAAGGCTCGTCCTCAAACGCCGTGAGGATGTCGATCAGGCGAAGCTGCAGCGCAACTGGCAGCATGAGAAGCTGGCGAGGGTGCAGGTTGTCGCAGCCCAGCCCAACCGACGGGCCGTAGCGCTTGCACGCCTGTTGCAAGGCCTCCAGGGTGATGGGCGGTAGCGTCCAGGAACCAACGTCCCACTGGTAGGCTCCGACTCCACTGGGGAAGCCTTCCTGGAGCCAGAGCCGCTGCCACGTGCGCGTGAGCTGATCAACGGCGCCCATGCCGGCGAGGGGCCTCCCTGCGTCGGCGCCCCTGACCACCGGCGTGGGGGCCGCCTTGGAGAAGCGGTAGGCCAGGCGGCCTCCTTTCTCCACCGCCGTCTGGGCCCAACTGCGCCAGGCGGCAGCTCCTTCAGCAGCATCGCGCCTCTGGGACGCCAGGGGCCACGACTGCAGCTTGGCGATCGCCGTGGGGCAGCCCTTCACCCCCGCATGGAAGGCGAGGTCACCCCACTTCTCGTCGGAGGCCCCAAGGAGGGGCGCGCTCCGAAGTCAAGCCTCCTCCTGGGTCGCCTCGTCCAGGAGCTTCGCCCTCGCCGCAGCCTGCTGCTCATACCACCACGAGTGGGTCGGGTGCCACCTGCTGGCCTGCTCGGCGCGAAGCCTCTGGAGGGCGACCGCCGGACAGCTCCTCAGGCGGTGGGTCAGCATGCTGTACTTGAGCCTGGCCTCACGCTGCACCAGCGCGCTGAAGGGCATGCGCCTGGTCTTGGGCCCTGCCGCTCGCCCAAGGTACACTCATAACTTGTGTTAAGAAATTATTTGTTAAGAAATTGAGACCCAGCTTCGGTGAATTTCTTAACCCCGGTGCGAAACCCAGCTTTCGCCCCCGAATTTCTTAACGAATCGGGCGTTGCCACGCGACCACCGGCACAGCCAACCAGCACGACCACCGAGAACCACCACCCAGCAAAACCACCCAGCACGACCACCCGGCACGACTGCCCAGCAGGACCACCCAGCACGACCACCCCCCAGCACGACCACCCAGCACGACCCCCGGGCACGACCACCCCCCAGCACGACCACCCAGCACGACCACCCAGCACGACCACCCAGCACGACCATCCGGCACGACCAGCCAGCGCGACCACCCAGCACGACCACCCAGCACGACCACCCTGCACGATTACCCAGCGCGACCACCCAGCACGACCACCCAGCACGACCATCCAGCACGACCACCAGCACGACCACCCAGTACAACCACCCAGCACAATCCCCAGCACGACCACCCCCCAGCGCGATCACCCCCCAGGTGCGGAAGAAGTTGTGCTGGGGAGTTGTGCTGTGGGGTTGTGCGACCGGCAGGGGTTGTGCTGAGGGGTCGTGCTGAGGAGTTGTGCTGAGGGGTCGTGCTGGGGGTGTGTGCTGAGGGGTTGTGCCGGGGGGTTGTCCTGAGGGGTTGTGCTGGGGGGTTGTGCTGAGGGGTTGTGCTGAGGGGTTGTGATGAGGTGTTGTGCTGGGGGGTTGTGCTGAGGGGTTGTGCTGAGGGGTTGTGCTGATCGGTTGTGCTGGGGTGGTTGTGCT